TCTGAGTACACGCCCAAGTCCCATATTTTTCTACGGACCCTCCGGGACCGTCGAATCACAGGTTCGGTTCCATTTTACCCAAAATGTTGACCGAAGTCAATATTATGCATATTAATATCAAAATTCATCAAATTTTTCACAAAATTCACATATTCTAACATAAAAACTTTCCGGCTACGCGCCCGAACTGCGCACGCAAATCGAGACAACTAAAAGAGAGGTTTTTAGGGTCTTGGATGCACGGAACTAGGAAGAATTACGGTGATGACCCTTTGGGTCGTCACACCTCAACTCTTGCATCTTGTCCTCCGCAGAGGCCATTCCCACTATTGGTTCGGTTTTTATTAAAATCAAACCAAACCAAATATATCGATTTGGATTGGTTCGATTTTGTCGGGCTTTTCGGATTTTCAGGTTTTTTTTTGTTATATGAATATTATTTCAATTTTACTTTGATAAATTTTTTTTATAAGTAAATATTGTTTAGTAAAAATTTTAAAAAATGACAAATATATGATCTATTAAAACATTCTTATGGAAGAATTTTCTTAGTAACATATGATAGTTATTTTTTAGTCGTCTAACAATAATTTTATGTTGATGTACACTTTCAAGGTTAACCGAATTTAGTAATTAAATATAAAACTAAATACGAACCTATATAATAATATGTTCTATTTAATTTTGAATTATCGAAATACCATTTCAAACTCAAAAAAGATATAAGAATTTAAAATATCTTGACATATAAATATGGAAGAACAAAGAGATTGACGCATTTCGCTAACACTTGATCAGAAAGTGACTATACAACCCATTATTTAAAGTTAACAAATATGGAGTACTTCATATTTAACTAAATATTACTTCCCATAAGAGAATCACAAATATTTCTAGACATTTTTTTAAAGAAAATTCTATAAAAAGTCTTAAAAGTATATATAAAAATTATATATTTATATGTCGGTTTGGTTCAGATTTTTTTACTCAATACCAAACCAAATCAAAGCAAATCTAATCGGATTTTTTAATCGGTTTGGTTTGACTTTTCGGTTTGGTGCGATTTTCTAGTTCGGTTTGTACACTCTTATCTCCTGGAATACCCATACATCCATCTCAACATCCTCATTTCAACTACTTTTATCTTCTGAACATGGGAGTTCTTGACTGGCCAGTACTCAGCCCCATACAACATAGTATGTCTAACCATCATTCCGTAGATCTTACCCTTAAGTCTCGGTGACACATTCTTATCACACAAAACACCGGATGTGAGCCTCTATTCACTCCGCACCAATACGATGTGAGACCTCATCATCAATCTCCCCGTCACATTGGATTATAGACCTAAGATACCTGAAACTACTCCTCCTAGGGATGACTTGAGTATCGAGCTTCACATCCACGTCCGCTTCATAAGTTTCGTCACAAACTTGCACTCCAAGTATTTTATTTTGATCCTGCTCAACTTGAAACCTTTAGACTCTAATGTCTGTCTCTAAACCCCCATCCTTACGTTAACCCTGCCACGAGTCTCGTCAATCAGCACTATGTTATCGGCAAATAACATGTAACATGACACTTCCCCTTGAATGTGTCGCGTCAACACATCTATCGCCAAGGTAAATAAGAACGGGCTAAGAGGCGCGATCCCTGGTGCAACCCTATTACAACTGGGAAGTGTTCCGAGTTACTTCCGATAGTCCTCACCCCCGAGCCTTAGCACCATCATACATGTCCTTAATCACCCTAATGTACGCTTCCGGAACGCTGCTAACCTCCAAACATCTCCACAGAAGCTCCCTCAGGACTTTATCGTATGCTTTTTCTAGGTCTATAAATACCATATGTAAGTCCTTCTTCCTCTCTCTATACTACTCTGCCAATCTCCTCACCAGATGAATGGCTTCCATAGTCGATCTCCCCGGCATGAATTCAAACTGGTTCTCGACAATACACACTCCTCCTCACCCTCACTTCCACTATCCTCTCCCAAACTTTCCTAGTATAACTCAACAACTTGATACCCCTATAGTTATTGCAGTTCTGAATATTATCTTTGTTCTTGTACAACGGAATCATCGTACCCCACCTCCTTCTTCGAGTCTCTTCTTCGGACAGAAGATAATGCATTAATAAACATGAGAAATAGTTTTCTAGAAATAATGGAAGAAACAGAGAAGAAATCAAATATCTGACTCCCTGTTTCTTTTCTCATTGAGATACATAAAGAGAAAGAAATTCCAAAAAATACTCTTATTATTATTATTATTTTTTTGTTAAGAAAAGTAACAACAAAGTTCAAAGTTTTAGGCTTGAAGTAATATAAAAGAGGAAAAAAAATAATATCTAGATATGATTTTTCTCATTATATAACAGGGTCATCAACATAGTTCACAATCTTCTCCTAGATACAAGGTACCTTGATTTTCTTTTTCTTTCTGATTTTATAACTCACAACACATATTAAAAAAATGCATACACTCAGGCCTCATCCATTATCACTCTTGTAAAAGAATTCAGAAAAAAAATAAAAATACTACACTACAATTGAATGCCACATTCCAAGAAAAAGAAAGGCAAAATACCTTACCATCCTCCTCAACTTGACATGAATTATTAGTTACAGTCTTAAATTATTCGTGGTCTTAATTTCCCCCTCATCTTGGCCTTTTGAGAGCCAGTACTCCCCTGGACACTGACGTGGCAAAGAGTGCGGGTGCACTCGCCTGCCACGTGGATTTTTCTACATATGTGGTATTTTTTTGAAAAATAAAATATATTTTTACCTTTTTAATTATGTTACTTTTTTAGATAATTTTTTTCGAATACAATTTATAATAAAATTTAGATAGAACTACATTATTTATGCTAAATTTTTTTATTTGGCTAAAAATAATAAAGTTTTAGTGAAGCTTTTTTTGAATTTAAACTGAAAATAAAGATTTATCCAATTGAAATAAATAGTTAAGACATCTAAAAAGTTATAAAAATACATACTCTTTTTATTCCTTTTAAAAAGAAATAAAATGAGTGTATCCATAGAGTAAGTTATTTCTTGCAATTGTACACTCTTTTTATTTCTTCTTTTGATGCAATGACTATTTATTTTAATTGTGTATTTTTACCTTTCTCAGGTAAAATCTGTAAAAAATATATTTTTAGAGTAGCATAATTTAGAGTTATATAAAAAATTATAGCCAAAATAACTAATTTCATGTATTTTTATAACTTTTTAGATGCCTTGACTATTTATTTCAATTGTATAAATCTTTATTATCAAGCCGAATTCAAAAAAAGATTAACTAAAACTTTATTATTTTTAGCCAAATAAAATTTTTTAGCATAAATAATGTAGTTTTATCCAAGTTTTATTATAAATTGTATTCGAAAAAAATTATCTAAAAAAGTAACATACTTATAAAGGTAAAAATATATTTTATTTTTCAAAAAAATACCACATATATAGAAATATCTGCGTGGCAGACGAGTGCACCCACACTCTTTGCCACATCAACGTCCAAGAGGTAATGACTCTCAAAATGCCAAGTTAATGGGATAATTAAGATCACAAATAATTTAAGGTTGTAACTAATAATTCCTGTCAAGTTTAAGGGAATGATAAAGTATTTTGCCAAAAAATAAAATCTCAAGGTGGCTTAACGCATTATCAAATATAACGATAAGTCGGATAATTTGAATTAATTGAACTCTAAAATAAATATCGAACGTCAAACAGAAGTCGTGCCCCAAAAATAAATATAAAATACTATCAGTTCCGATTTTATTTTTTTAAAATATTGGGAGGTGGCGTAGCGTGAGAAATTCGCAGGAGGAGGGATAGAAACAGCAAAAGAAGAACCAAAAAGCATCAATTTATGGGTAATATACTACTATTATTATTTCACTAAAACCGAGGTTAAATTCATTGGATGCCACCATTTTTTGTTTCTTGTTTTCTTTTCTGTTCAGGCTAACTGCCATAACTGTGATTCCCTGCCTCAAAAAACCAGAAACCACACCATTCCTCACTATCTCTACACTTTTTCCTAAGAAAAGGAAATAAAAAAGAACAATGTTTTTCTTTTTCCCAATTTAATAAGAAATAGAAAAAAATAAAAAGAAACAAGAGTTTTCCCTTTTCCAAACTATATATAAGTGTCGAGCTTTAATTTTTTCTAGGAGCATATTTATAGCATATTCTTTAGTTTCAATAACTTGACCAAAGTTTCTTCCTTTCATACATTTAACCTTCTGTTTGCTATAATTATATAACCCCTTTTGATTTTCTTGGAGTTTTGGAGCTAAAGTTTTAATCTTTGCTATACTTTGTGTAAACCTTTTTGATTTCTTGAGTTTCTTTGCCTGCAATTTTGTTATTTGGAGCATATTCTTTAGTTATATGACCCCTTCTGATTTTCTTGGTGTAATTGTGCTAAAGTTTTAATCTTTGATATACTTTTTGTAAACCCTTTTGGTTTTTTGAAGTTCTTTGCCTAGAATTTGGTTATTAGGAGCATATTCTCTAGTTATATGATCCATTTTGATTTTCTTTGGGCTATTTTGCAAAAGTTTTAATCTTTGATATATTATTTGTAAACCCTTTTGGTTTCTTGAAGTTTGGAGTTTGATTATTTGGGGCATGCAAATTTCCTTTTGATTTTCTTGTGGTTTTGGAGCTAAAGTTTTAATCTTTGCTATACTTTTATAAACCCTTTGGATTTCTTGAGGTTTGGAGTTTGATAATTTTGGGACATGCAAATTTGTTTGGTATAATTATATGACCCCTTTTGATTTTCTTGAGGTTTTGGAGCTAAAGTTTTAATCTTTGATATATTTGTTGTGGACCCTTTTGATATCTTGAGTTTTGGAGTTTGATTATTTTGGGGCATGCAAAATTCTTGAATGAGATATGAAGTATTCTGGGGTGGTTGTTGTGTCAATCTTGGTTTGGTTTTTGGTTTTTGTTAGTCTTGTTGAGGTTAATAAGGGTCAAATTCCAACCACAGTTGATGGACCTTTTAAGCCAGTGACTGTACCTTTGGACCAAAGTTTCAGGGGACATGCTGTTGATTTGCCAGACACTGATCCCAGAGTTCAAAGGACTGTTAAAGGATTTGAGCCTGAACAGATATCTGTTTCCCTTTCTTCTACTTATGACTCTGTTTGGATTTCTTGGATTACAGGTAAACTTGCTAAAGTTTTCTTCTTTTTTTAGCCTATTAGTTTGAGTTCAAATTTTGAAGGGGGCCTTTTGCGTAACTTGTAAGGTTGCTCCTATGTGACTAGGAGGCCATGGATTCGAGCCGTGGAAACAGACTCTTGCAGAAATGCGGGTAAGGCTGCATACAATAGACCCTTGTGGTCCGGCCTGTCCCCGGACCTCGTATAGGGGAGCTTAGTGCACCGGGCTGCCCTTTATTAGATTGAGTTTGAATGTTAGCTTGAAGAATTAGTGCTTTTATCAATTCCAGTTAATCACATAGCTAGCACAGTGCAGGAGTTACTATTTCTTTCCTGCTAATACTATATGGTATGCCGAGAAGCTATTTATGATAATATCCAATGTTCATCGTCTAACAGAGTATGTTAAATTCAGTTATGTCACAAATTTGAGTTGATAAAATGGGAAGTTTGATACAAGGTTGTATACTTTTTAGTCATGGCCAACTGTCGATTCATAGCGATAAGAGCATATTATAGCATATACAGATATTCTTCATTGGTCTTTGCAATTTTAAATTGTGTGAGATGAAATATATTTTGGCTAACTGGTTAGAGGGCCTTAACATTCTTCATCTGGGATGTAGTTTAAGAATGTGCATTTTACTGTATTTGCAGGGGAATATCAAATTGGTGACAACATTAAACCATTGGATCCAAGTAAAGTTGGCAGTGTTGTTCAATATGGGAAAGATAAATCCTCGTTAAGGCACAAAGCAATTGGCGAGTCCCTTATTTATAATCAACTTTATCCATTTGAAGGACTTCAGAACTACACTTCTGGAATCATACACCATGTTCAACTTACAGGTATGCTAGCAGAAACTGAACAGCAGCTCCTCTGTCCTAGCTGAGATTACATTCTGCTAGTTCGATGTTTAGTACAGTCTCTGAGATCTCAACTAGTAAACTTGCTACTTTTGAATATAACCAAACTATTTATTCATTGCGTCAGCTTTTACTCTTTATGCAAAGAACTGAATGTTTGAACTAGATGTCAGTGTTCGTAACTTGACACCATGGACAAAGTAGTCGTACACTAAGAAGTAGGAATCATGCATCACACAGTTACTATTGAGATCAAATTTAGAATGTTGCCTCTATTAGATTGATAATGTGTAGAAGTATCTTCACTACAGTTTCACTTGCTGCTGTTAGGCCTCTCTACAACTGCAAGCCTGCTTAGTTTGGTTTTCTGCGGAAAACGTATATAGCTCATGCTTTGAGGCAGTTTGAAGACGCACAATTTGACTTTCCTTAGGTCTTTGAATGTGTACAACTGCAACAAGAATCTTTTTCAAAGTCTCATTCTGCAAATTTCATGTCTACTGAATTTCTTTTTGGGGGGTGGTGTTGGACCTTCACAATGGATTAATAATGCAAGTCTCTTATGTAGCTGATTTGTTTCTCATGTTTGATTTAGTCATCTGGTGCAATTTTTCGTTCTGCAGGGTTGAAACCAAATACATTATACTATTATCGATGTGGAGATCCTTCTATACCAGCTATGAGTACTATCTACCATTTCAAGACCATGCCTATTTCTTCTCCAAAGAGCTACCCAAAGAGAATAGCAATTGTAGGGGACCTCGGTCTAACGTACAATACCACTTCCACTGTTAGCCATTTGATGGAGAACAATCCAGATCTTGTTCTATTGGTTGGAGATGTCACATATGCTAATTTGTATCTCTCGAACGGAACTGGTTCAGATTGCTATTCGTGCTCATTTAACGACACTCCGATACACGAGACCTATCAGCCTCGGTGGGACTATTGGGGAAGGTGAGAGCTTGACTCCTTTTGCCCATTCAAAATTTTGATTCACACATCACGAATAAATTAATAAAATGTGATCCATTAGACAAAATGGATAGTTCCAACTTCTGTACTGAGAGTTCAGGGTTCAACTGAGATAACACCTGATCATTCATAAAAGACCAGTTTTAGATTTCTGTCAGAGCAGAAACACATGTATACTTCACTAGTTTAATTTGTGCTTCTGTTTTCTGACATTGTCGCTATAGATATATGCAACCGCTGGTGTCCAAAATTCCTATCATGGTGGAGGAGGGGAACCATGAGATAGAAGAACAAGCTGAAAATCAGACATTTGCAGCCTATCGTTCTCGCTTTGCATACCCATCAAAAGAAAGTGGATCATCCTCCCCATTTTACTATTCTTTTAATGCGGGTGGCATACACTTCATCATGCTCGGAGGATATGTCGCCTATAATAAGTCAGGTAAAAAACACTCTCAACCTTCCTTCAATCCTCTTCTCATTTCCCTTGTTATGCTTGCGGTAGACTTTGGAAATTTGTCTCAAATCATCGATCGGCTGGAATGTGTCCTTAGTTTTCATATCTTTGCCGTTCTGCTCCATCTAGTAAACTGATTCACTAAGCTTCTGATTACAGATGATCAATACATGTGGTTGGAGAGGGACTTGGCTAATGTTGATAGGAGAGTTACTCCGTGGCTGGTTGCCACTTGGCATCCACCTTGGTACTCTACTTACACGGCACACTATCGAGAAGCTGAATGTATGAAGGTAGCGATGGAAGATTTGCTGTACGAGTATGGTGTCGATTTAGTCTTCAATGGACATGTAAGTACAGGATTAATATACCGTTAGCCTAGAGCACATAAACTAATTTGTATGCTCTTCCATTCAAATTGCACATTTATGTATCAAATACTGATAACTTGAAGAAATCTATATAGGTTCATGCTTATGAAAGGTCAAACAGAGTCTATAACTACACACTGGATCCTTGTGGTCCAGTCTATATAACTGTCGGTGATGGTGGAAACCGCGAGAAGATGGCAATTGAACATGCTGATGAGCCAGGGAAATGTCCAAAACCAGATAGCACCCCGGACAAATTTATGGGCGGATTCTGTGCCTATAATTTTACATCAGGTCCAGCTGCTGGTAACTTTTGTTGGGATCAACAACCTGATTATAGCGCATACCGAGAAAGTAGCTTCGGCCATGGAATACTAGAGGTAAATATTTATTTCTTTCATTACGATATTTATCAATTCTTACTCCTACTGAATAAGCAACCAGAGAAACAGAATTTTAGGTATACCTCACATACCTTCAACTTATACCTTAAGATTAAGATAATTATTTTCTAGCAGTCTCTAGAGCTTTTGTCTAGTGGTAAGAGCGCAGCTCGTGATGTGTGATAGGCGCACATCACGAGTTCGAACTCTACATAGAAGGGCGGGTCCATTGTCCATTGAGTCTCATACTGTGTGCCAACTGGCCCTCGGAGTTTTCTTGATTATAAAAAAAAACGTTTTGTAGCACAAGATTATTTTGAAAGTCAATCTATTGAACCGAGGGTCTTCCGGAAACATCCTCTCTACCTTCACAAGGAAGGGGTAAGAACTGCGTACATACTACCCTCCCCGGAATCCACTTGTGGGAATATATTGGGTATGTTGTTATTGTTGTTAATCTATAGACCATTCAAAGATCACAAGAACTTGTCAAATTAGCCTATAAACCAAAAACAACAACAACAACAGACCCAATGTAATCCCACAAGTGGGGTCTGAGAAGAATAGTATGTACGCAGACCTTACCCCTACATTCAAGAAGGCAGAGAGGTTGTTTCCGACCAATAAACCAAAAAGAAAGTTGTAAAGTTTTTCATAAGTAGGAATGAAGGCGTATCGTCATGTTATACGTTCTAGTTCTTGCAACTTTAGTTATCGACTTATTGCCGCTAAATGCCATAACATTCACCTTTTTTGTTCATAGTTACAGAAATTTGATATGTTAATTTTTGTTGAAAATTTGCAGGTGAAAAATGAGACACATGCTCTATGGACATGGCATAGGAATCAGGATATGTACAATAAAGCTGGAGATATAATTTACATAGTCAGGCAACCTGAGAAATGCCCTGTTAAACCTAAGGTAATTAAACCCTGGCCAATTGGAAAATACCAATTTAATTGGATTTAGAAGATACTCTGACCCCAATTTACTTGTAATTTAGCTGAGAGAGGAAAAAAGAATAGGAAAAAAATAAATCTATTCTTTGGAAATAATGATTTATAAATTATGATTGACAACATTAATATTTTTTAATATATTAAAAATTGTACATGTAATCAAGAACCCTCCATTTGATGTATATTTGGAAGACTGTCACATTTGAATTTTAATATTTTCTGTAATTTATATATGATTTGTTGTGAATGTAAAATAAACTCATTTCCCTTCATCTAATTATTATTCTTTTTATCAAGTAAAGTATTCATCTTTTTCTTTTTATTATCTTCTACATTTATAGTTTTTTCCCGTCAGATTGAATATTTCAAATTGTGAATTAAATCAAGAAAAAACCTTTATTTGTTGTGCAATTTACAGGCATCGAGTTGGTTTAGTTTTTATATTTTTTGCAATTTATTTGTGATTGGTTTTGAATGAATGTCAAATAAACTCATCTTTTTCCTTTCCTTTTTTTTTTAATCCTCTTCATTTGTAAGGTTTTCTATTAAAATGGAAATTATGTAATTTCCACGAAGATATCAAATGCAGAAGCAGATGATGGGAGACAGAAGCAAATGGGATTAGAGACAATGTACCAGCTTTACAGCTTATTAATCATAAATAATAAAAATATAAGAATTTCAGAAATATACATAGCTATATTTCCATTCAAATAAAATATTATAAGTTGGTTTGGACATAAAGAAAAATAAAGACCTCTAAAACCATTGGTCTTAAAGTAGGAAATAAATAGGATTAATTACTTCATTTTGATTCATAATTCCAAGAATCTAAATTTAAATAACGTCTGGTACGGACAACATGAAGTGGAAAATACGAGATTTTCTTTTTAAACAATGAATAGTTTGTCATATTTTCCTCACACCAAAGAAGAAAAAAAAAAGCAGCCTGACGCACTAAGCTCCCGTTATGAGCGGAATTCGGAGAAGGGCCAAACCAAAGGGTCTATTGTACGTAGCCTTATCCTGCATTTCTGCAAGAGACTATTTTCATGGCTCGAATCCGTGACCTCATGACAACAACTTTACCAGTTACGTCAAGGCTCCTCTCGTACCAAAGAACAAAAACAAAAATATAATCAAAAGAAAAACAGTCAAAATCATTAAATTTTGACCCAATTATCAATATGAAATGAAATGCAAAGCATAAACTAAATGAAATGGGTATGCAAAGACACAAAATAGTAGAACTTGGGCATGCTAACAGATGAAATGGTTTTAACATAACAATGAACCTAGACTTGTCATTGTTATAACCGAGAAATTCCCGAACATGTTCGAAACTCAGTGAATAATGAACCTGCCCCTTTAATCACTCTCCATTTTAAAGGCTAGGTTTTTGTCTGCCAGAGAATTCAAACTCATGACGTGCGCCTAACTCACACATTACATGTTGCACTCATACCACTAGATCAACGCCTTGTTATCAACATGGCAAGACAATTGATATTAATAAGGACCAATATGTTACTCTAATGGGCTAAAGTTTTCATAATAGCAAAATGAAAACTTCCCTTTTCTAACCAAAATTGTATTGTCCTAGTCTTCAAAACTAGCATAAAGTATGGGTTTACTCTACCAGAAATGCCTACAATAGTTGAAAAATATGAATGAAGAGAAGCATAAAAAATGCAGGAACTAAATTTGAGAACTTGTGAGAAGCTTTAGATTCCTCTGAGTCAGGAATATCAGGACCAACGCGCGGTGTTGTTCCTCCATTGCCATTGAAAGGATTTGCAGCGCCTGGTGGTGGTGGATAAAGAGTTGACGTCGTGACTGGTGTAGTCGTCCCTCCAGTCGTGCCACCACCAAGGGTGCTCGGAGTAGTAGAGCCACCAGCAGTGCTGAAATATTACAGAATCCAAGTTTGCATTGAAGATCAGAATGCCATTTTTTACTACAGAATTGACACGAATAATAGCATGCATGATAATCATAACTTGTCCATATACATGTTTGATTTGAACGAGCAAATGATCTTTAATACAGATACTAGCAGATTGATTGATGCATTAGCATGCATGCTCCTAAAACTAGTGTTTGGCAGATCCAAAATTTAGACGTGGGGTACTAAAATGCATATCTAAGGAGTCGTTTGGTACGAACGATAAGGGATAATTAATCCCGAGATTAAATTTAAAATGAGTTTATCCTACGGTTGGTTGGGATAAAGTCGTAGTATAACTAATTCCGGGATTAGTTATTCTGGGATTGTAGTGCTTTTTTATCCCATGGGAGAGTGGGATAACTAATATCGGAATAATTAATCATGAGATAATTTATTTCCCAACCAAACAACCCCTAAGTGTATCTATACTTATTTTCTGCACATATATGCATAAACTACGCATATATGTGGTTTTTTTACTCAAAATACGCAAATAAGTGTAAAAAAAAAAGTTACCAAACTATATATAATGCCACAAATAGTCGCGTTATACAGTAACGTTAACTGCACCGTTACTGTATAGCGCCACTATTTGTGGCGTTATACTGACA